TACAAGTTGTTTGGATTTTTTCATCTAAAAAAAAAGCAACATTAATTTCTTGACGACCTAAAAGTTTCTCATTTTGAGGAAAATCTTTTAACCAAAATATAAACAAGCTGAATATTTCAAGTCTGTGTTGCCACTGATTCAAACTTCTATGATAACAATAATACATAATTATGATGTTTTTACAATTGCCATACAATTTTTTTCTATTTGTATCTTTCCTGGAAATCAAACTATGGTTACAGAATAAAAACATTTTTTAAACTTGATTAATGATTACAGGGTCTTGGTTACAAGACAATTAGTAAACAACAAATCAAATTTTTATTCATTTCTTAATTAACAATTTATTTTCCAAACCATATAAAAGATTTATTATTAACATGAAACAAAGTCAAATTCATCCCAATGATAACATGTTTTGTTATAAAACATACTTTTAAGTGAATAAAATGTATTCTTGTTTGAATAAACTGTACTGAATGATGAACACAGATTCAAAAGAAAAAAAAAGAACATTATTTAAAACGTATTACAATTCCTTTGCAAGCATTTTTTCTGTTTACAGGTATAATCTAATAATTTGTACCAAAAATATAAATGTCCTTACCAAGGTAGTTTCTATCTTCCCTCCTTCTCGGTATAATGCTTTGTTAAGGTAATCCATGCAGCCATGAACAGCACACCTTGCAGCAAGACATGATTTCTCTCCCCAGTTCACTCCATCAGCTAACACCAGAATGGCACTGTTTTCTCGCAAACAGACTCCAAAAGCATCAGCAATTGGTTCACCTGTGGTTTGGCAACAAAAATAGTTATGACTAATCATGTTGTGTTAAAATAAAATAAAAACAGTGAAAATAAAAATCTAAGCTCGTTCTTATATTTGGAGAATAGGTTTCTTTTAAGGACAGTGATAATCAAATTATACTCAACAGCAAAAACGTATGAGAAATTTACTTTTACATTCATTATGGATAGAAGTCCTAATTTATTTGGGGAGGTAAAATATATCTAAATATTTCCAACAGTAAAAGAAAAAAGATTTGTACTTGAACATTTTATATATGATATTCAAACATCTTCTTATTAGTTAATTTTGTATACACAAACTTACAATTTCTCACACTACTTAACTGTAAATAACTTTCCACAAAATCATTCACTTACATACATACATACATATATATATATATATATATATATATATA